GAAAAAAACCAAAAACGAATGAAAAAAAATAATACTTCCAATTTTAATTTCTTTTTTGGGTTTTGGAAATGATTTTGGACGCGCGGCGATAAAGATGGGAGGTTGGTGAGTCGATGGGAGGATTGATGGATGATGTGTCTGATTACCGACATGAAAAAAACCAAAAACAAAGGGAAAAAAATAATAATTTCAATTTTTATTTGTTTTTTTGGATTTTGGAAATGATTTTGGAAGTGCTGCGATAAAGATGGGAGGTTTGTGAGTCGATGGGAGGATTGATGGATGACGTGTCTGATTACCGACATAAAAAGAGAACTAAAAACGAAGGGAAAAAAATAATACTTCCAATTTGAATTTCTTTTTTGGGTTTTGGAATTGATTTTGGACGCGCGGCGATAAAGATGGGAGGTTTGTGAGTCGATGATAGGATTGATGGATGACGTGTCTGATTACCAACATGAAAAAATCAAAAAACAAAAGGAAAAAAATAATTTCAATTTTAATTTGCTTTTTTGGGTTTTAGAGATGATTTTGGACGCGCGGCGATAAAGATGGGAGGTTTGTGAGTTGATGAGAGGATAGGTGAATGGCGTGTGTGATTACTGACATTAAAAAAAACGAAAAACAAAGAAAAAAAAAATGATTCCAATTTAAATTTCTTTTTTTGGGTTTTGGAAACGATTTTGGACGCGCGGCGATAAAGATGGGAGGTTTGTGAGTTGATGAGAGGATAGGTGAATGGCGTGTGTGATTACTGACATTAAAAAAAACGAAAAACAAAGAAAAAAAAAATGATTCCAATTTAAATTTCTTTTTTTGGGTTTTGGAAACGATTTTGGACGCGCGGCGATAAAGATGGGAGGTTTGTGAGTCGATAGGAGGATTGATGAATGACGTGACTGATTACCGACAGGAAAATAAAACCAAAAATGGAGGAAAAAAACAAAAAACAAAGAAAAAAAAATTTTTTAATTTTAATTTCGTTTCTTGCTTTTGGAAATGCTTTTGGACGAGCGGTGATAAAGATGGGAGGTTTATGACTGGATAAGAGGATTGATAGAGGACGTGACAATTATCGACATAAAAAAATGAAAAATAAAACAATAATTAAAATTTTAATTTTTTTTTGGCGTTTTGGAAATGATTTTGAACGCGCGGCGATAATGGTGGGAGGTTTGTGAGTCGATGGGAGGATAAGTGGGATACATGCTCATAACCGACATGAAAAAAAAAAGAAAAACAAAAGAAAAAAAATAATTTTCATTTTCATTTTGTTTTTCGCTTTTGGAAATGATTTTGGACGCGCGGTGATAAAGATGGAGGGTTTGTGTGTCGATGGGAGGATAGGTGGAAGACGAGCTCATAACCGACAAAAAAAAACGAAAAAGAAAAAAAAAATTTAATTTTAATTTACTTTTTCGCCTTTGGAAATGATTTTGGATGCGCGGTGATAAAGATGGAGGGTTTGTGTGTCGATGGGAGGATAGGTGGAAGACGAGCTCATAACCGACAAAAAAAAACGAAAAAGAAAAAAAAAATTTAATTTTAATTTACTTTTTCGCCTTTGGAAATGATTTTGAACGCGC